CCTCCTGATTGTGTCATCAATGCTCGGTACCGGCAGATGGGGCAGAGATGCCTGAAAGCTGTAGAGCAACGGTCGCCGACCAGACAACAGCTTTACAAGACTCTAAAACAGACAGAATAATTCATAAATTTAGCCACTTTTTAAACTGCACTATACATACATTTAATTTAATGGGAGACGCACCAGCCAGACTTTAGTAGAGAAGCTCATTTTGCCATGTGACTCAAAGATCCAGCTGTGATAGGACAGGAGAGCTTTCAGGATGTACCGCAGCAGGAAGATGAATGATAACCACAGGCCTGTGGCAAACAGGATGGCACTCAACACCGTCTGAGTCTGAACAGTCATAAACTCACTACATAGAAAAAATAAATATATATATATATATATAATTAAAAAGTTATATATATTAAAATACAATTTATTAATAAATTATTAAAAAATAAATAGATAATATGTATGCAATCTACACAAGTTGTTCTTTAGTACTGTTTGTTTCAAAGCTGCTTTAGCCATGGATGACACTGGCTTAGATTTATGTATCTGTGTTTATACATAACCATCATGGTCGTACCTGAAGTTTCCATGAACGTGTTAGTAAGTTACCTCACAAGTAGAGATGTCTTTATCCTGTCAATCATGCCCATGAAGGGGTCAATCCTGGCATACATGGTGCTCATTATCGCAATAACTACAATTAACCAGCTGGAGGGACTGGCGGGATACACACCTGTGAGAACACCGTTCTGCTCAAAATAAAATAAAATATAATTTTTTTAGATAGACCGACAGACAGACAGACAGACAGATAGATAGATAGATAGATAGATGATTGATTGATTGATTGATTGATTGATTCACCTTGAAGCGTATGGCCCGTTTCTTCCATGATGTCACTCCGGACGGACCGGACGGACGGACGGACGGACAGACAGACAGACAGACAGATAGATAGATAGATAGATAGATGATTGATTGATTGATTGATTGATTGATTCACCTTGAAGCGTATGGCCCGTTTCTTCCATGATGTCACTCCAGATAGGTAGATGTGTTTGAGAACCTCACGGCTCAACTGTAGGTCAATGCCATCAGGGGTGACAGTGAACTGAAATGCCACTGCCTGATGAGCCTCTGCCATTATACAGGCTTAAAGCACAGCCTGAGGAAAGAGATGGGTCATCATAAAGTACCTTTTGCAAACACTCAGTTTATGCCATGTTTACATGCCATTTCAGCTCAGCTGGTGTAGGCTAGTGGAAAGATCTGGGCTAGTAAGTGAAAGGTTATGGTCGGGATGACCGATGGATTATCACCATTGTGCTATTTGTGACACTTAACCTCAGGTTGAATGTTTTTGTGATCAATGTATTGTAAGTCCATGTAGATACAAGCATCAGCTAAATTAATAATAAGTAAAAAATATATATCTTAAACTGCTTAAATTATAATAAAATCCAGAGAATTTATGTCCTTATGGAAGGCTTGAGGTTGAAACCAGGGGAAATTTGCACACTGTAAGATCAAAGACAGGTCCAGATCAACTGGAAACATCCCATGACATTTATGAACGGGAGAATTATTAAGATCAATCACTACTGTGCCATTTCACCTCAAATTGCTCCAAGGAGAATATGCTTTAATTAATAAGATTCCTGTCTTATTAAGTCTCTTATAGGTTAAGATTCTGATAAATGACAAAAATACATTTATGAGAAACTATATAGACCTACAAATGACATGTAAGTCACAGAGTTCAGTTATGCAGTGCCACTGTCAAGCTTATGTTTCTTTTTCCGTGTCATATGACTGCAGTCAGAAGGACTGAAGGACGGAAGTGGGGCAAAGTTGAACGGTCAGAAATAACGTAGTAGGACATCTGAGAGGGCTGAGCTCTATGTGATTTCAGTGACACTGGCCAAAACACACATGATGTCTGATGCATGACTGCGTAGATGAGGATATATTTTTTTTTTTAAATAGACATGCATTTTGTATGCTAAAAATAAACTTTTCATATTAGATTTGACAGACATTGCTATATTTGTGAATGGTACATTTTGTTGATCATTGGGATAATATAAACAATATGCCAATTTCAAACACCAATATGTGGTGCAATAAAAAATTACAAAGAAAAGCATATTTAAACAGTTCTTAAATATTTACTACAAAGAAAATATTTGTGATCACCAAAATAATTTTACAGAGACCGCTAGACAAGACAGCTATAGCTTAATCATGAAAGATTATCAAACAGAAAAATTCAGAGTGTCTTTAAAGGATTTTAATAAGAAAAATAATGGATTTACATTACCTGCAATGCAACAGTCAAACACTGTAAGTCAGATGAAACTTAATGGATAAAAAGATCCGATTTTCTTTCACTAGGGCTGGAATGTCCTTTAACTGTTCTTCACGCTTGTGCCCTTCAGTCGACTCCTCATCCACTCTGGGAGGAAGTCTGTAGCTCATTGACTTGTTATCTCCTCTTCTACTCAAACTTTCTCCTCTCCCTCCCTCTCTGTTTTCCTTTATTTTGTGATTTGCCTGTTTTCTGTGAGTGTTGCTTTCTTCTTGAACTACCTGTTCTTCTCTCTTAACTACCTGTTACATAGTGACCCTCATAAATGCTCGTGCTTGTTCTGTGTATGTGTAACTGGATACTTTCAGGGCAGAGTTAAACTGGTGGCTGTACAGTCAGTACACACTGTATGATCAAACACAGGCCCAAATCTTAACAGTGCTGGAAATATCCCACGGCTGCATGCCAGAGCCCTCTGACGATAGTTGTATGAGACTGAGAGACTTTATGTACATGTGTCTTTGTAAAATATCTTTGAAATGAGGCTTTTAAGTGTGTTATGCAATAGGTCAGGCATCTTAGAGACATTTTTTAATATTACATAATAAGGAATTTGATGGACAATAGCAGAAAATTGGATTTGTATATTTTGTTTAGAAAATGTGGGCGGTGCTTGTCCAAAACCTGTTGCCATAATGCCAGGGAGCTGTAATGTGATTGCCAAAGTGTTCTTATTGGTTTTAGATGGTTGCTTACTGATTCAAGTTAAAAGATCCCACTTCAAAGTTTCTATATTAATGTGGGCTCTAGATATGGTTTGGTTCATCTTTCAATATAAATCTATGGGATTTTTTCCCTTCCATTTTATTATCGGGTGAATTAATGCTGATTACTAAGAAAAGTAATAGCACACCTCTCCTCAACAAGCTTCAAGATGTCCATAGCATAAGCAGTGCAGGATAAGTTGCATATAAAAATGATAGAAGTTTACATTTCTGAAAAACTTAACATCAAAGTATGTACAAAAGTAACAGTCATGTCTTAGCAAGCACCACTAATTGTGTACACATCCTGTGTAAACTGTAATTACGCCAAAGAAAGATTATGCCACAATAACAGGTTCTCACAAAATGCTTTACTTTACACAAGTTGATACATTTATTTATGAAATATTTTGTTACATTTTGTTGCAATTAAACAAGAAGAAAAACAAGGTCAGAAGTAGAGGTGGAAAAGGCTCTCGTAGCAGGTGGTGACAGGGAGGGAAGGAAGAGGACAGAGGGACAGTGAATGCAGGTTCAGTTTAACTATAGAATTGTCCTTCATCCCTGACATGTAGACCTCATTATGCAGAATGGTGCCCTGGCCAATTAAAGTGGTCTTCTCCATTGCTCTGATACAGCCCCACTTCTGAGATTCCACACAGAAAGATGTCACCATGGTTTCAGAATTGTTCCCTCCAATTACAACCAACTGATTATTAGCAGCACCCAGGAAGTTCAAGATGGGGAGGTCTGCACTGGAGCGGGTTAGTGTGGGGAGCAGCTCACACCAGCAATCTGAGAGGAAGAGAGAGAATTCTTACAAAGAGAAGGACAGGTTAAAGTCAGCATGAAAGAGAAATTCACCCGCTCTATTTTCTGAATGCATCTTATTAATCTTGTGAATGATTTATCCATGCTTATGACCCTTTGGAGACATATGCTGCAAGTAAGTTTCACTTGAATGAACATCACAACATGCTTAGTTCATATTTGAAAGCTAGAGGCTAATAGTCACCCTTGAGCAACCTTACATCTTGAGCAAGGAACTCAATGGCAACAGCTCATGGATCAACCCTGAATGTTGTCTGAACCTTTCGGTTACCACCTCAGATCTTTAATCACTAGACTACATCACACCAAATTGTACCTTGTCTAGTATCGTAGCGCAACACCAGTTTCTCTCCAGTTCTCTGGATGTTCCCCAGTACATAGAGGCAGTGTCCCAGGCTGGTTGTGAGTGGGGAATCATGGGAAAGGGACAGGCTGAACTGGAAGTCTGTCAGAGGGAGAGAGGAAACAAATTCCCAGGTGTCTTTCCATGGATCATACTTCTCCACAGCAGTGTAGATGCCTGTGCCGGAGTCAGGAGTCACAAGGGAATCCAGATACCAGCCGCCCACAGCAAAGATTCTCCCCTCACACACAGCTGCACTGAAGTGACGCCTGTGCTGAGAGGGATCATGGACAGTCACATTGAAACTTTGACCTTTATTCCTGCATATCTGATACTTATCAGCTGGGAAACGTAGGTTTTGGAAATGAGACCTTAAAGGACAATATGTTCCAGGCAGAAATCTGCCCATGCTAGGCTATACTATTATAGGTCATGAAGTTGGAACATGCTGAACTGGTTTGTTACTGGTCAAAGGTGGTCTACAAGACCCAACCAGCTTGACCAAGATGGTCTCGCAGTACACTTAGGTACCACCTGCTTGTAATTCAGCTGGTTATCTATGTAAACCGCCTTGGACCAGCAAATGACCAGCTTGAAACCTTAAGAGTAGATGAGTGTACTGTCACTGGCAAAGATATTGACCTTTATCGTAATGTTCATACCTTAATCAGAGGAGCTGTTGATACCCATTGATTGGTAAAAGGGTTGTAGCGGAAGGAAGCCATCTTGAACTCATAACCCTTCTTTACACGGTGTCTATAACCCCCTATGAGATAGAGGTAATTATAGAGAACCGCTGTGGTGAAGCACCACTTATCTGCACAAAAAGGCAGATCTGTGATAGAACTCCATTTCCCATAATCCTTGTCTTCCTCCAGCCTGAAGAGCTTTCGAGCAGCATCTGTTTCCAGGTCATTGCTTGAGGTCAAGTTCTCCTTTCTCAAGCAGCATAAGTGTGGAGTTCCCTTTGACCTTAATCTGAGAAGCTTTGCTTTAAGGTGTGGATCCAAGCCCTGACTCAGGTGTGGACGCTCCAGTAGATACTTGCTCAGGTAGGTTAGCACAGTCTCTTGGAGCTCCTCACTGCAGAGTTCTTCAGCCAGCTGTAGATAGCCTAAGCAGGTGTGCTCCGTTAGGGCTTGAGAGAGGGCAATCAGTAGACGATTGGTGAACCCGTAAGCAAGCAGGTAAGTGCTCACCCGTAGGTGTTCCCCAAGGAGGTCTTCAGAAATGCAGAACTGCTGTAGGAAGCAGAATTGTAGAAGGTTGTGGAAGACTGGAGAGGGAACAGGTTCTAGGTGTACCAGCTGTTCGGATGTCTCTCTCATGCAGGAGTGGGACAGAGCCTTGAAATACTCGCTGCAGTCTGCAAGCTTCTCCAGATCCACCTAGAAGTAAGTGCTGATAAGCATGACATCATGTGTTTGTGGGCCAAGGTTGTTACAGTCTGTGGTTTATGTGTAGATACTCACATGGAAAGTATGTGTGCTGGTTTGCACCATTACCATTTGTCCATTGCTCTGGTGCCGATAGGTCCTGTACTCTTGATTTGTTCTCCAGATGTCTGCCTGTAGGTTATCAGATTTCTCTTCTACAGCATCAGAATCTGCCTGTCTGAACTGAACCCAATTTAAACTATTTTTGAAGCACAAACATCTCTGTATCTGTTCTATACTTCTTTTCAGCAATGTGCAAAAGTACATTAATGCCACAACTATAACCTGCCATAGATTAGCCATGTTCTCATTTAGGTAGAATACTCCAATACTTGTAGGACTTAAAAGGTTTTGTATGGCTCTTCAGCTGCAATTTGAATGGCGTTAAAATGTTGCATTTGGAACTATTCTAGACTATCATTCTAAAGAAAGCCTGACTCACAATCCCAGCCAAGGCCATGTCATTCCATGGTGGATGGAGGATAAATCCAGGTCTTCAGGAACACATGTGCTGGTTTGCACCATTACCATTGGTCCTTTGCTCTGGTGTCGATAGGTCCTGTACTCTTGATTTGTTCTCCAGACGTCTGACTGTAGGTTATCAGACTCCTCTTGTACAGCACCAGAATCTGCCTGTCTGAACTGAATCCAGTTCAAACTACTTTTGAAGCTCAAACATCTCCGTATCTGTTCTAAACTTCTTGTCAGTCATGTGCAAAAGTACATTAATGCAACCACTAAAACCTGCCATAGATTAGCCATGTTCCCATTTAGGTAGAATACTCTTAATACTTGTACGACTTAAAAGGTTTTGTATGCTTCTTCCACTGCAATTTGAATGCCTGACGCACAATCCCAGCCAAGGCCATGTCATTCCATGGTGGATGGAGGATAAATCCAGCCTGTTTTTTGGTAGATCATGCATGGAGGTTTTCAAGGCTCAATATGGCGCCTGTGTGCCAGAGCAATCACAGTAGAGCTATTTTAGGGGATCTCTGGAACAGGAAACTAATATGGTGGCCCACTCTGTTCAGTCTACTGTATTACACAACACTTTAATTATATATACTTTTTATTGATCTATGTATTTAAAACATTTTTCTTAATTAAATTTTTGAACTGGTACAGAAGTAGTGTTTTGAATAATGCATTATCTTACATATTCTTATCTTACATAAAATATATTAAAATGACATATTATGGCAGAAATGAACAAACCCCAAACAATCTCTATATCTTTATAGGTCACCGTTACTTGGAATGGAATTCATAACCCTATCCGAACAACTCAGATCGTTAACCTTTTTAGTTACTTGTATTTCAAAATTCAAATACAATATTCACACCAATGTCAGCATGATTTTTTTAATGAGCAAAATTAATGGATACCTGCATTGCAAAAGAACAAAAGAAAACATACCAGAGACAAGTCTACAGTATAACTTGAATTAGCCAAAGCAATTACAGAAATGAACATTGGTTCTAACGGTGTCATTGCTTCTCAACACAATATTAAGAATCACAGATTCAATATCAACAGTGATATTGGGAGCATGTTAAAGTGGTCTAGCCTACAACGTTCATGGTCTCTCAATGTTTCTTTTGTCCCTGAACTTGCTACTATATACAGGAAAGAAAACATTGTGAAAATTATACAGATACAATTGTTTATAGACAGGGACAGATACAAGAGCATCAGTTTGACCATTCAGATTCTCCCAATATGATTCCAACAAAATACCATGATTCTTAAGCTGATGATCCCACTAATTCACTGTATAATGATACTATCCTTCATTTGTTTTGTTCTTCTTTTGCCACTTTTCAGTTGAAGACATATACAGAGATGGTTTTACCATTTGGTTGAACTTAAAAAATACAGTATACTTGCTTTGGATAAGTAAAAAATATAAATAAGCATAAAACAATTAAAACAGAAAACCACATCAACAGTTATATAAAATAAATTTGTGTTTAGAAATGGGACAGAGGAATTTGTTAGTTTAGTAATTAAAACTTGTTATTGTTACATATCTATATGGCAGAGCAAAGACTGGTCAAATCCTAAGTAAAACACAAACGCATAGCTCAAAACATTATTTCCAATTATTAATACTTTTTTCCAATCGAAAGTTAAATGAAATATAGCCATCAAAATCATATAATAGAAACAGAGTATTTTATGTGACATTCTGAAACTAATGACTCCCTGAGTTTAAAAAAAAAGACGTGATGTATTTCACAGTATGTAAATATAGGAAGGATGCAATATGATTTGCATCCTTATCCAATATGATGAATATTTTTAAACTCTAGGGGAGGAAACGAAGACACAAAAATGAAGAGACATCATTTGGACCCTGTGGTTTACACAGTAATTATGATGGATGGATTGATTCTTGATACAATTAACAGATAATGTTGACCACACACAAGTTAGATAAAAAAAAAAAAGTGCAGTTACATTATTATAAATAAACTGACAAAATTAATTTTACAGTTTGCCTTGTACAATGAAGAGGTATAAACTGTACATGAATTATATCTAGGTTTCAGTCGCAAAATCCCCCCACCCCTCATGATTTAAGATTAATGTTCCCCAGGATGAACCGTTATTTAGCAAGTCTGAATTGTTTGTACTGTGCCCTTTCTTGAATGGTTAAAAAAAAAACTATACCTAAACAATAGGTGATGCAAAATGATATCCTGAAGCACATGCTGCAAGTGTAATTTAGGAAAAGAGCTTCTTCTGTTTAAAGTATGTGTCAAACCTGTGCTGTGCATAGTCCTGGGGAAAACCAAAAAGAGAACACAGAATGAGGTGGAATGGCCTTCAGATCAGTGATGAACAGAAGGGATTTGTTCTGTATATACTTGTTTACTGTATACATAACTATGATGGCTTTTTGACTGAGCTCTCAGAATTTAGGCGTATTCATCTGTTTTGGGGTAATTGACAAATAACATGGACGTGTACTACAAAATTGATATAAACGTATGAATGAATATTTATATAATTTAGATGCTGTACTGTACTGGCCATAACTGATATGCAATTAATTTGATTAATTATCAAGCAATGACAGTCCTAAAAAAAATCATCATAAAAGGATTAAAAGATGTGAGATTGTCAGATTTATAATCTGTTTGTGTGTGTTGTGATATCATTTTTTTTCCAGTTTACCATGTATCCAAACTCGATTTTGGAGATCTTGGCTTGAATAATGGACCACAAACCCCAGAGGAAATGAGACGCAAGGGCAAACCTGTTTGTGTGCATGTGATTTTGAGACAAACAGATAGAAAGGTTACTGGGTAAAGGTGAAAATTCATCAAATGGTACACAGTGGCACATTTAGCATATTATGTCAATAAAAGTCTGATAGTAAATACGATTCATACCGGTTTGCCTCAATGATCATGTCCTCTTCTATCCTGGCTTGGTCTGCAGGTGCAATGCCCCCCCTTTCTGACAGATAGTGTCTCATAAAATGTAACTGAAAAACAAACCGCAAACAGGCTCAAAATAATATTTATAGGAATATCTATTTAGTTTGTCTAATTTGTTTTGGATATTTAAAAAGGACTGATATAATCCCCTGCCCCATGACACAATTTTACTGATTTCTAATAATTTCTAAGGCTGTTAAATATTAACATTGTATCAGTCAGGCTGCTGACCTCTATAAAAATGATTGTGACAACCTTTGACACACTTTTTATGTCACGTCAGTTCCAAAACATTCCACTAGATGACAGCATCACCTACATGTACATTATGTCCAACACAAATGATCTCTTACAACTGTATGAAAAGTCATTTGTCATCAATTTGTTAGACAACTACCAAGCACAAATTAATGTCAAATATAATTTATGATGAGGCTGTATTGCATGTGCATAAGAAAAAAAGTATTAAAAAAATGTCACAATAATAATCTGTCATATTATACTAATCCTCAATTTTACTTTCTATCCTGTTTAATTTAAGCTTATTTGAATTTGTACAACATAAATAAACTGAAATTTTCTCTTTCAGTTGATCATTTTATAAATTGACCTTTGTTAAGAGTTGTTGTTTTTTTCCTTGTCTCATCTTATTATAATATTAAGGCCATTAATGATAGGCAGTAGTGTGTGGGGGAGCATGTTGTGACTCACCTGCTGTTGTCTGTTAGGGTAATTCTCCACCTTTGCCTTGTAGAAGGGCCACTGGTCATACGTGTAGTCATATATCCATTCACAGAAATGATTCCCAAAATCAAAGCCTCTGCACTCAGAGCAGACCAAATTCAGAGTACATCAGAGCTGCATTTGTTATAAACTATAAAATGATAAGCACATGTCATATACCCTATATATAGGGTAGTTTTACCTGTAGTTATAGCTGCTGTATTCAAAATCAATAAGCATTAGTTTGTCAGATGAATTCTCCCGGCCATCCAACATGAGGATATTGCCTGAAGAACAAAGTATGATTTTATAGGTGAAAGGGCAGATATGTGAAAGTGACTCATACTCGGAATTAGTGCTCTGCATTTACCCATCCAAAGTGCACACACACAGCAGTGAACACACACACACCATGAACACACACCCAGAGCAGTGGGCAGCCATTTATGCTGCGGCGCCCGGGGAGCAGTTGGGGGTTCGGTGCCTTGCTCAAGGGCACCTCAGTCGTGGTATTGAAGGTGGGAGAGAGCGCTGTACATTCACTCCCCCCCCACCTACAATCCCTGCCGGTACGAGACTCAAACCCACAACCTTTGGGTTATGAGTCCGACTCTCTAACCATTAGGCCACGACTTCCCCAACAACGATGTTGCATAATGGTACAATACAACAGTGACTGACAGACCCTTATAAGCTCAGCAGATTAGGCAGCTGCCAGGACTCTGGAATGCGTGTATGAATGTAAATGTGAGATTGCTTACCTTCCTGTACGTCATTATGACAGAACACAACTGGAGAGGGAGTAGCTGCCAGCAGTGACCTGACAGAGAGCGAGAGAGACGGCACATGGTTAAGTGCTACTTTATTATATTGCTCTTATAAACCTGCTTTTAAAATGATTGCTTTCATTGTTTAAAAGCCCAATGAAAAAAAAGTACTGGAACACACACAGAACAGTAGACAAGCACTTAATTCAGAGAAAAGTTTCTCAATCACATGTGTGTGTGTGTGTGAGATTGACCGAGCAAGCTGAGTATGCACAGAATGCAGCTTCCTTTAAGTGCCTAATCAGAGATGCCTGGAACTGGGCTAAGGGTGTTAGCATACAAAGACACATACACTACTTTTCAACAGTTTTGGGGTCAGTAAGATTTTTTTTCTTTGAAAGAAATGAATACTTAATACATATTTGAATGATTTCTGAAGGATCATGTGACACTGAAGACTGGAGTAATGAAGTTTTGATCACAGGAATAAATTAATTTTACAATATATTAAAAGAAAACAGTTATTTTAAATTGTTTTAATATTTCACAATATTACTGTTTTACTGTATTTTTTATCAAATAAATGTAGCCATAAGAAAAGAAAAAAAAAAACCTTTCCAACCCCAAACTTTGGAATGGTAGTGTATACATACACGTAAATACTTTATGAATTCAATGATCTTGGCCATTTGCTGTTATCTGGAAGTTCAAGTATCACAACATGCTTTCCATTCACCCTTTCAGCTCTTTTTATTTACATATCTTTTCTCACCTCAGATCCTCCAGTTCTGCAGGAAGATCATACTTAATTAGCTTGTTACATTTCTTGATGTGAGCTTCACGCACAAATGTTATTGTTTTAACTTGTTCCATGTACCTGTTCAGAAGAACAAAGTCATTTCAACACTGATGCCAATATAAATATACACCGCAAACATGACAAACCACCATCTGCTTATTTTTAAATATAATTACAAAAACATATCAAGGCAGATTTCTTACACAAGCTCATTTCAGTTATCTGGGGCACATTCTATTCTTTGGGTAAACAATGTAATTAAAGCTTGTAATTTCTGGGTTACAATTGCAACAAAATATGTCTGTTTAAAATCGCTATTCCCAAACAGCCAAACTCATTGGTTCAGCCAGTGTTTCTATGTCTTAATATCAGCTACTGTTTTGATAGTTACACGGTTTTCAGGTATGAATAGTAATCTGCATATTCTGGGATAAAAGCATGTATTTAAAAAAAAAATACACAAGCAGTGAGTGTTTCTATAACCGTAGGTTAAAGGACAGTGTGAGACTTTTACCGGTCAAGGGTTCCAAACAGCCATTTGGGTTCCTTGTTGAACGGCATCTCCATCCAATGGAATCGTGCCATTTTACTGGCTATTTCAGCCGAGATCTCTGGGAACCCCAAGTGCTCTGTACGCAAGTGATTACTCTGTGGAAGAGAAACAGATCTGATTACCACTCTTTGATTATGCATACAGAAATATGTGGAATGAGAAATACTTTATCTATTATTAAGGCATGCAAATCTCTCTGTAGCTTGACTGCATTAATCAAGTATAGCTGTGTTTAAAGGTTTATTTTAAACCATGCATATAGGATCTGGGATTTTGATTTAAGACTCACGGGCAAGTACTGCTCTAGACGGCCTTCTGGGAAAATGCCATAGAGACGTGGGCCCAACTCTCTCTCTGCTAAAATGGCAAACATCACACTTTCCAAAACAAGAGAATCCACTCCCTGTGTGTGTGAACACAGAGAGACAGATGCATATGGGCAAACATGAATAGCATGATTAGATAGTTAAATGACATCAGGGAATTGACAGCACTGGATAATAAATATCTTGCCCAAGATATAGACTTTTATCAGCTTATCAGCCTTTGCAACAGCGTATTTGGTCTACTTCACATATAATATGGTCAGGGTGGCACACCTGTAGAATGGCCCCGTAGATCCGGAGCAGAACTCGTCGAGGTTCGACCCCGGTGGGCTGAACATCACTGGGTAAACTGCACATGTACAGCAGGTTACTGAGTCCTCCACTGTGTGCACACAAAAAAGCAGTATTTTACTTTATTTCTATGTATATGTAATGTATGTATGTGTGTGTGTGTTTAGTAATATAAATCTATACACAATCACACATACATACATTACATTAAATATTGTTTTTATTATTATAAACATATGAAAAGTTAAGTGAAATCATTTTGAAACCTAATTATCTGTAAATTCTTTTTATAAATAGTTTGATCACATGACTATTTTGATCTGAAAGTCGTGTTCCGATATAGCCTTCCATGATCTGGACAGAAAGTCACGGCACCAGCTAAACGCCCTCTTTCTAGTATCCGGGTCCACAGCCACGTTACGGCCGTCCTGATGGGACTCCGCTTCAGAGTCGTCATCCCCGTTTACCCCGCGGGGACTGGCAGATCTCGGATGTCTCTCTTCGGCCACCATCAGTGAGTCTCCGCCAGCAGGTCTGTCTGAATCCGCGTCATCCTCAACGCATCTGCCTGCACTTCCAGCTCCATCACTCATGCACTCCACCTTTTGGCCCGAATTCATGATCCCCTAAGTAGGAACACCTATCCGCTCCAGAAGCAGCTTTAATTGAGCGTGAATAGACGCACATGCACCCCTGTCACGAGCACACAATGAAACATCTAATCGCTCGCGATATCAGACACCGTTTACGGCGAGAGAAACCAACGTTAAATGGAAAAAAAATACTAGCTATTTTTTCCACATGACCTTTGCTTAACTGTTATATTAAATACGCAGACGTATTCCCAAACTGTAAAGGCTGTAATTTAAATATTTTCCCACTTCAACTTCCTTGTGAAGTTATCGCTGCAGATTGACTTTAAGAAGATTGACCTTTATTTTAACCAATCAGTTTTGAATACCGCGGCACGCAACGCACTTCTAGTACCGCACTCTAAAAGCCAGAGCGCTGATAGGTCGGTTCTTACCAACTACAATGAGTAGTGGGAAGTGTAGTTAATTTAGCACACTGTACGATAAGCTATTGTATTGAAAAGTAAAATGTTACAATAAAATCTATTACGTTAATGAATTAAGTGACTTCCACTGTAAATATTGTAAAATGTGTGTTTTTTTAAGAAATATAAAATTATGATTTGCCTTATTATTGAGAGCAAAAATACATCAAACAATGTAATATGCAGGGGCGCACATAAGGTTTTCAGTCTGGTTCTCATGAGAGCACCTGGAGATCTTGTTTGGTGCTCACACTGCACATAGCGTGACTCATTAAATATAACTATGAAAATAAAATAATAATAGTGATAATACTATCATTGCACTTTATTTTGTATTTTTAAATAAAATAATACACAAAATAATAAATAGAGTGTCAATACTATTATATTTTAAGATAAAAAGTGAGTATTAAATAAAAATACAATTATTTTACAGTAGGCAAGGCAAGTTTATTTATATAGCACATTTCATACACAATGGTAAAATATAAAAGGAATTAAAATAATCAACAATAAAAGCAAGGAAATATATATATTTTTTTAACTTAAGAATAAAAGATGATGATGCATAAAATACATTGCAATCAGTTCAGACACAGTGCTCATTCAGTAAAAGCACAGCTAAACAGATGTGTTTTGAGTCTGGATTTTTAATATGGCTACTGATTTGGCACATCTGATCTCTTCTGGAAGCTGGTTCCAACTGCGAGGGGCATAATAGCTAAAAGCGGACTCCCCTTGTTTTGAGTGAACCCTTGGCAGCAAAAAATGATGTGTTCAACCCAAGCAAAAGAATGAAAATATGCATTTGATCAGATGTAACTGAAGTACAAGGTTATGATATACATTATGTGAATGCTTGGCCAAAGAGATGTCTTTAATCTAGATTTAAACAGAGAGAGTGTGTCTGAACCCCGATTGACAGTGGTCTGTTAGGTTTGAGCATATCTGCAGTGTACTGAGGTCCTAGTGATTTATAAACAAGTAATAATACTTTAAAATCAATCCTAAATGTAACTGGAAGCCAGTGTAAAGATCTGAGGACTGGTGTGATATGCTCAGATTTTCTGGTTCTAGTCAGAATCCTGGCAGCAGCGTTTTTGATGAGCTGCAGCTGTCTAATGGTCTTTTTGGGAAGGCCGGTGAGGAGACCGTTACAATAGTCCACCCTGCTGGTGATAAAGGCATGGACAAGTTTGACTGGTCTTGACTAGAAACAAAACATCAAATTTTTGCAATGTTTTTGAGATAGTAAGCTGATTTAGTCATTGCTTTGACATGACTTACTAAGGTCTGACTCCAGAATGGGGAAATCGTGGCCCACATGTCACTTTCACTTTCACGTTCAGAATTCAACCAAGATTCCTGACTTGATTTTAAGTTGTTTGACCCCTAGAGTCAAGGTATGCATTCACCTTGAGAACTTCATCTTTGTTTCCAAATGCAGTGACTTCAGTTTTCTCTTTGAGGGAGTCAATGGGGCTGTGCACTGTTGGTTTTAGCGCTGCCGAGTGAAGAGCTTCAGTGAACTTCAATTAAAGTTTTGCGCTGAAACCACAACGTATAGCCTAGATTTATGCTTTCAGAATGGAAATCTTATACAGTATTACAGTTAGTCATTTGTCGTTAGTGTACATTAACAATGTTGGTGTGCAAATGAGCGGTCTGAACTTATTTACACAGCGCATGTTTTATTTTGGTAAATAAATTTATTTATTATTTTGTAAGTGGTGCACCCCTTATTTATGTGGAAAGGGGCATTCCCAGAATTCCTATCACAACCCATCATATTTTATTTTCCAAGTTTTAGGAACTTTAAATCATCACGTGGCCTTCCATTGTATCACCGACATTATTCTCAGTATATTGTATATAATAACAAACAGATTAACACATTAACATGACTTTATTTTCTGCTGTAAAGTTCTGGCAAAAACAGCTGCCTGTTTTTTTTAATCAATGAACTCCAGGCCTTAATGTCTATTAAAAAAATTATGTTCCAGCCTGGTGTAAGGGGTATTGCTCTCCTGAGATATACTATTACTTCAAAGATTAAACTGCATATCATTTTATGATCTGCTCTTACAGTACTGTAAGGAGAATTCAATCGCTCACACTCTCTGAGTCTTTCTCCATTCTCACACACAGAGAAACATACATTCACACTTATCTTCAAATCACATTGTCAGCAAATATTTTGTCTGTGCTGGAAACCCCACGTCCTAAAACGACCTTCATATTTGAATTGCAGCAGGGTGTTCCCTGCATTACTCACTTCCACCACTGTTGCTACTCTTTCTGTTAGTAAGACTTTCAGCACCAATCACTGAACAGCTCCTCTGCGGCAGAACAAGGGTTAATGATCCAACTAAATTATGCTTTATGATTGTTACATAGACACCCGTTTATTGATATGAGCAAAAATGCTGTGCTTGAATGATAATTAACCTGTTATACTGCCTATTTTCCCCCCTGAGATGTCTTACATTTGCACAAACTTTCATATGAACATTCTGTGCATACTTTTTTAATAATAATAATAATATTTAATTTACAATATCTTACGGTATTCTCAGGTACTTTAAAGAACATATGCCCATATACCCTACAGGCTATACGTCCAAAAAATGTAGTATCACCATGGTACTTTCTAGTAGGCCTACTTTTGAGTGGTTATTTCATAAATAATTTACTACTAAGAGAATGGATTTCATTTTGTGCTTAAGCTTATAATTTTGCTGTTAAATATTGGCGAGTTATTACATAATTGGTTTTAGAGAGCTGAAAGCACATGAGTTGATAGAGTGACTGTATTGACTGAACGGTCATGTTTCACCAGATTGAGCAGTTAACTAGCTACTAATTATTTTAAAAGAAACCCAAATGTTCATCCTCTAGATGACGCTTGGCGGCTCAAAAAACAAATCCTCCATTGAGACGCATTTGAATCTCAATACGTTTTTTGGAGATATTTGTATACTAAAAAGTTTAATCATTGAAATCTATTCATTTCAATAATTGGTTTCTGACATACAAATGCATCCGCACCTAGCAAACGTTATTATTATTATGTTTTAATAAGTTCGCATGTCATAATCACAAACGAAGCCTAGGCTATATGATGCGTCCATCTCTACCTGCGCCAAGAAAAGTAACTGGTACCACCTAATATCAGGTTTATTCCAAAAAATGGGGGCTTTTTGTGCCTGACAAATATGTATAAACTTTAATGACAGTATTTCACCGAATTGCTCCTTTTGTCATCACTTTTAAGAAATAATGACTTATTATGGAAGTGTTTTGAACTGGGTTTTATAATTTTGTAAAAGGAATTTTCCCCAAACTTCTGTATCTATTAGCCAATATTTGTGCTTTTGGGTGACTCTATTCGTATTAGGTTTATAATTATTTAATCACTATTCCTGGCAAAATTTTACATTCATAATTGTACATTTTTAAAGAAATATATTTAAATATTTATTATATAGTAGCTATATTTGAGTTACTTGGCATAACTCAGAATTCAACTAAGACTCTTCTATGTCGTAATACTTATATTTTCAGAATCGCATGTATTGTAACCCTCTTAGAATATTTTGTTTATTGTCTTTATGCTTGTAAATGCCTGTGCAAAAAAAAAGTATAAACAACGACACCTGCTTTTACTGTTTTTAATTGAATAAAAATCGTAATAAAATAACGCATAAAACACTGTAAAATGTGCTGTTTATTCCCCAGGTTATTCAAATTATGTATATAATCTATTAAACAACTGTCATAATTACCTTTGAAAGGATGTCAATTCTTTAATTTACTTTTTTTAAGCAGAAAAAGACACTCAGTTTGTGGAATGAGCCCCTGGACAATAATTTACACCTGAAAAATGGCATTGAGAACATGAATCGACATTTAATTCAATGAACAGTGAAGAGATAAAAATAAATAAATAAATAAATATTATTATTATTAATTCGAATTGACCCATCAACCTGACCAATCACAGACTACCTCTGGACCTCTAAGCCACACCCTCTTATAGGCGCGTTGAACGTTCATTGGCTCGTTCTATTTCTATGAGATCCATGCACGCGCCTCTGCCCCCCTCCCTCATCAGCATCAGCATCATCATCATCATCAGATGCGCGCAGATCACGCCAAACAGCGCACTGGTTCATCAGCAGGTGTGTGACTGAAACAGAAGATAATCGATATCAATACATCGCCACTTATGTGCGTTCTGTATATCTGACTCTCATTTCTTTGGATCAGCGATTGGACCGTTTTGATTCCCAGCGGGCGTCAGCAGTCAGTGTGGCCGAAAAGGAGAGAAATTAGCGAGATCATATTTAATATCCGCTTCTCCAGCGTCTGTGGATGGGCTGCGGACATCTGCATCTGCAATCTCTGTTTTTGAGTCACTAAGAAGATGGCGGACAGGGCAGAGATGTTTTCTCTCTCCACCTTCCACTCCCTCTCTCCTCCGGGATGCAGGTAAGTCACGCTGTATTTCTCTCGAGTATACGCGGGGTTTCCTTTTCTTCTAGCATTTTTATTCGTATAAGCTGGTCATATGTGACCATCAGCGCTGTTTATGCGTCTGTGATGTCCTCAAACACATCCAGAGATCAGCATCATCAGCATCCGCAAGCAGTGATGCTCAGCATCCTTGTGATGTTGATGTGGATCAGCAATAACGACCTTGTAATTGTTTATTTTTTTCTTGTCTTCTTTTTCGTGTCTGGCACCAATTTAATGTGTATGTAAATCTATGCACTTATGTACATGAAATTGAAATTGATCAAAAAATAGATTTTTGTTTTCATTGCCTGACGCATCCTCTCTGAGAT